TATGAAAACAATACGTTCTTCAGGGTTTCCCGGGGTAGCTCAATTTCTAGTATCTCTTCCTTTAATGAAAAAAATAGCCATTCTAGTACTTTATAACACATGAAAAGATGTCCCTTGGTATTGGACTCAGGAAACATTTTCATGATTATCAGTCATTGACTTGAATTCCAAGTCTGTACTAGTCCCCTGTAATTACAGATAAGTGTGTCTTATCAATGTTTGGTGTGAAAGCTGAGTAAAGTTCCAAAATGCCAGATGGCATAGAGACATCAACTTTCTACGATTCAAGAATGCACAAATTCACAGGGGAATGCTGTGAACTTTGATTCTAAAGCCTCCATTGTCTTGGAAACCAAGATTTTCCGTAATTATCTTTATGAGTAATTGTCTTTGTCATCTGTGTAAATATAATAAGCCTTTTAGAGCTTCTTAAATTTAATCCTGTACTCCTAACGAGAACCGTATATTCAACGTTTTTTCCTTAGTGTACATCTTGTGCTTGTCTGTAAACTGAAGATCAAAATTAAATGTGAATCCAATCAAGATTATCATTCACTGTTTCTATTGTAGGTTTTAAGTTTGGAAGTCCTTTCTCAATCAGCAATTCAGGTAATCATATGTTAGGATTAAGTGCATAGGATCCCACATTCTCTTATCTTAACCTAAACAGTCCAACTTATTCATAAGTTGTCGCCATGACTTGATTGTCCACAAAAGTTGCTCTTCATGGAAAAGTGAATTTTTTTCATTATCTATTAAGTGATCATGTTACTTTAGCCACATAATATGGTACATCTAGAAACAGTTCTTATAAAGGCATTTAAGTTTTCTGATGACCTGAGTTGATGCTGAAATTGCAGAGACTCTTAGCTCTATGTCAGTGAGTAGTAAAGGGCATCCAATTTCCTGTGGATGTTGACCAAGGGACCTTGTACAGAAATATAAAATAGATTTACAAGAATATTCTAGAGAAAAGACACCTTGGTATACTCATTCTCATAGTGATTTGACATACTCTTAGTTCTACGTCAAGCCTCTGTTTCAAAATCACAGCTCTGTGATACGTATTTCCAACCCACACGTTGCCAGACACTAATGTTTCTGATTATAGGTCCATATTTACTTCTTTTGAATTTAAATGATTTGTGGACCTCATCCCAGTGTCTGGGTGACATTGCATTTCATCACTGACAAGAAAAAGAATAAGCTAAAGTCATGGTGCTGGCCATGAAGGCTGTATTCAATTGTTGGAGGGATTAGCTTTCTCTTGTGAATAAAATAATTAGTTTTACTTAATGGAGTAGAGTCTGAAGACCTGTCTTATCTTTTCTCTTCTATATCACCCAAGTTTTTACTTTGCTGTTGCTTCCTCATTGCCTAGCACCATAAACAGCTGATAAATATGTTTTGAATAAATGGATGTGTTGAACGAATGTATATAAAATATAAAAATATACTTTGGCTATAATGATGATCTTCCTAAATCCCCCTTCCCTTATTTTTACTGGAACATTAGTTTTTCCTGAGAGTCACAAACCTAGAGACCCTATGCCTATGCCATGTACGTGCGCCCTAAATCAGCATGGCATCTCCGCGTTTAACTGTGAAGCTGTTCCCTCAAGAGTAACTAGACAACAGCAGGAATGTCATAGGCAGCTCTCTCAGATTTATGCAGCCTTGATTTTTTTTTTAGCTACATAGACTACGAATTGACTAGAGTATATGAAAAGATAACTTTTTATTTGATTTACGCTAAAATAAAATCATTTTGCGTTTCCTCAGGTATTACATCCCTTTTATGTTTATTGCGATCTTAAAATATTTTCCAAAGACATTTTTAGTTTTTTAAAGTTTTATTTATCTGTCCTTTGTATGCTCATAGTTTACTTAATTAAATGCCACTTTCTTGCCAACAGTTAATGTTGGCAAGTTAGTGTTTATTTAATGATAAAACACTCAAACGATTGAGGATTTTATATGACCAAAAAAAAAGAATCTGCTCTCATTATTTTTATTTAACATTGCTCTGGAAATACTGGCCAATGCAATGAGAGATAAAAAGTAATAAAACACAGCTATTGAAACATGTGGAGATAAAATACCATTATCTGTAAGCGATAAGCTTGCTTACTTTGGTTTTTCAGGTAGAATACAAAATCAAATAAAATACTGAGTTCAGTATAGATCAGTGGTTCTCAAAATGTGGTCCCCAAGACCTCCTCAGAGGTTTGTTAAGATCAAAGCTATTTTCTTACTACTACTAAGATGTTTTTGTCTTTGTCATTCTCATTATTTTATGAGCATACAATGGAGCTTTCCAGAGGCTACATGATGTGCTATCCCAACAGGTTAAATGCAGAAACATATATTAAAATATGGTTTTCTATTAAGCCAGACAGATTTATAAACTTATAATGCTGCCTCTCTTCTCACTATGAGTTTTGTTCGTTTTAGAAAACATAATTATTTATTTTAAAAGTAGATTGCTTATGTTAACATATATGGGCTTCTTGTTATTTTTACATAAATTAATCAAAAACATTTTAAAAATTAAAAATTTCAACACAGGAAATATCAATAGTTATAACCCACATAAACAAAAGTTCTTTGATGTCTTCATTAATTTTTGAGGCTGTAAAGTGGTTTTAAGATAAAAAATTTGAAAATTGCTGGTACAGAGGATGGGAAATACATATTTGTGTATCCAACAGCAAAAACAAATTATAATTTAAAGTGGAAAAAGAGTGAAATATTTATGAATAACCTTATAGATCTATATAGAATATATAATAACACTATTTCAGTATATTAAAAGGGATTCAATAGAGATTCATACCATGCTCTGTGGTAGGAAATTTGACTTTTATAATCATGTTGATTTTCCTTAATTTATAGATTTCACATATTTTCAAATATACTTAACATATTTGAAATATTTAGCATATTTCAATGGAACTATGTTAAATCTATGAAAATGAAAATTTCTATAAAATTTAACTAAATTCTAAAGTTTATGCAGGAATAACAGGGCAATAACTGCAAAAAATATTATTTAAAAAGAAGGATAATGAAGGGAGACCTTTCTTACTGGTATTAAAGTTACAAAATGAGTCAGATAAATAGAATGAATCAACTATCTCAAAATTAGCTTTACTGTGCTGTGCACATGTGTGTATATGTGTATATTTGTGTGCACTTAACATAGGATAAAGGAAGCATTAGTGTTCAGTATTACTCACAATAAAGGCTATATAAATGGAAACAATTTTTGTCGGTTCAGTAAAGATAAATGTCATTGATATTAGAGTTATTGCTAAGCATTTGTAAATTGTTAGGGGGAAATTATAAATTGAAGCAACCTTCTTAAATAGCTATTTGCTACTACACATCAAATGCTTTAAAATATTCATAATCTTTAATAAGGCAAATTTATTCCTAGCAATCTCCCAAGGAGATGTTCAGAAATGAGAAAATATTTATATACAAATATGTTCACAACAGCATGTTTTATATTAATTCATATTTTAGAACAACATTTACATCTACATATTGGGCAATATGGTAATGACAAGAAAAAACTGCATGTGGAATAATATTATTAATAAATAAGAATAGAGAACACAACATGTCATATATTTCATAAATCCAACTGTGTAAAAACTATATCAAACTATTGGCAGTAGATGCCTTAATACATTAACAGTGGTTGTTTCTGGATTCTGGAATTACAGATAATTTTTATCCTCTTTATGCCTTTCTGTATTTTCCTAATTTTTTTTACAGTGAACATAAATAAAAGCAGTACAATTTAATTACATTACACACAAGTATTGAAGTTTTAATTTATAGATTAAGACAAACCAGACAAATATTATAGTCAGATTTGAAATGAGATTTTATATTATATTTCAGCTCCGAGCTACCTGTTCTTTTTCATCTGCCAGTAACTTCCTTGAGCAATACCTCCATTTTCAGAGTGTACTTATTGTCCAATTTTTCAGTAAACTATATAACTTTAAACAAGTCACTTTTATTCTCTTGGTCTTTCATAATTTCCTTACCTATCAAATAACACTCCTTCCAATTTTAAATCTGAAAATTAAGTAGTAAAGATTTCTAAAACTCTATTTCCCATAGAAACATCTTTTCCTATAATCTTTCTCTCTTCCACTATACATTTTCTCCTAACATATTCTTTTATCTTTTGTGTTTGTCCTCCTTCAACGCTCTGCCCCCAACATCTGATGATTGAGGAAGGGATTATAATGTCATCTTTCTATCTCTTAATACTACTCAAGGCAGCATCCAGACCCTAATGGTCTCTGTACTACACTCAGTCAACACTATACTCTTGACTGGTTGTCATCTACAGAGTTTTGGTGATTCTCGTTACCGTAGAATTTATAAAAATCTGTAGAAATTCTAAGAAGCTAGATCTAAATAGACTGACTTAAGCTTGGTAATGAATTGCTGTTGCTTTTTCCTTTTCATCCTAGCCTATTTTGTTGGACCTTTTTGATACACACTGCCTATAGTTATAGACAATGCAGGCTTGGATGCCTATGTTTAACAGTTGAAATGAGTACCACTTTGGAAACACTTTGTTTTCGATGAAGCTATTGTATCTTATTTAAACTATAGTTTGCAATCTGCTATTTTTACTCTGTGGAGCTTATTAAGAGAACGTTGTTATGTTTAGTTGTTAATTCAAGTAAGTCACTAAACATGTTAATGAATGACAATATGAATGCATATTGGTGCCATATGATAAGCTTTGAGCAGATCCATTCACTTGATATCACATGTGAGTTTCTTATAATTTAATTATTATTAAATACTTCGGTATAAAGTTTTAACCTATATTATACATTCTAAATGGAAAAGCAAAACTTTAGAATTGATTTTCTTTGTCTAATCAGTCATTTCTGGGGTGGAATATATGCTGTTTGATGCCTTCATGTGATTCATATGTACTGATACATTTCTTTTTAAACTTGCAGCAAATAGTGGCAGCAATAAATGCAGGGATTATACCTTTAGGAAACACCTCCAATCAAATCAGTCACTGGGATTTGGGAAGTTCCTTCTTCTTTGCTGGCACTGTTATTACAACCATAGGTAGGAGACAACTTATTTTATTTTTTATTTTGGTACAGTTTGTGAGCTAAAATCCATTTGTATGAATTTTTTTATAGTTGGTCAAAATGATCTACTTAATGCAGACAAGTAGATTATAGTAAATTGATTTTGAAAAGGGGGTTTAAACGTTTAAACAAAGGAATGATGAAAATGAATTAGGTTATGTTTTGGAATATTAAGTTTAAAGTATATATGAAACTTAATAGCAGTGCAGTTCAGTTATTTAACTAATGGTAGTAGTGTCAAGAAATGGCTTGAAATGATGATTTCTTTGGGCAAGTAGTTTTTGATTTTCTTGCATCTTTGATTCTTTAGTGTAGCAGGAAAAGATTTGAATACACTTTTAACATTCTTTCATGATGTTTCTATTCAGTACCACCTTTTCCAATTTATAAATTTTAACTCTGTATTTTAACAGATTGTTCCTATTATATGCTCACCTATTATGATTATTTCAGGGCCTGTTTTATATACATTATATTTTGCGAATAGCACAAAGATAAAAAGTTAGCACTGAATTATCAAGATTACAAAAAGAATGAACATTTAGTCACGTTCTTTATTATAATGTTGGGAAGGGTTCACATAATGGAACGTGGTCTTTTTTGAGCTTGACTGTGCATATACTTGGCACCTCGTAGGCAGCAGAATGAGCACATGTAGATGTCCTCTCTCTGTTAGTCATCCAGTGCCCAGAAGCTATCCAGAGGATCTAAATGCAGACCCCATAGTGAAAGCCATGTTTGCCATTCTGGAAGGATTGAGAAGGGATATAGCTGTCCTGCTTACAGAAGGATGTGGGTTTAAAGCACAGTTTTTAAGAAACGGCAGGAAATTGACTTATCACAATCATGAAGGTATTTCAGGTGGGAGAAAATATATGTGCAAAAAGGAGTTCTTCCCTTCCACCTTTGCTCGTGATGAGATTTCCTCTCATGGGACTGATCTCTGGTTATGGGGTGAATTAAGATCCTTAAAGTTTCAATTTTATTTTTTGATGTCATTGATAAATTAAGACATGTCCAAAGCTTTCATATCAGTATTTTATATCAAAGTTTTACATAGGAGAATATGAAAAATTTATGGATGAACTCTCACTTAAAATTTTTCCTTTTATAGAAATTTGTAGTAATGTTCTATCATTATATGAATCCATGGTTGATCCTCTTTGCACTGGGTCACTTGCCAATAAAATAAATACCTTAGCATGTTGATTTTTGCCTTTGTTAAGAGGTCAAGAAACTGTGTTTATTCTTTCATTTCCATCAGCTAGGTCAAAAGTTGTGAGGCTGTGAAAATTTGGAAGAATGGCAACCTTGATTTCTAACCATAATAACAGGTTAAGTTTGGGGCTTAGACATCTTGGCCATTTCTACTATGGAAATAACTATTTATTGTGTAAACTACTTAGAGTCTGGAAGAAAAAAAAGCTCACAGACTTAGTGAGAATGGCTTGTTTCTGCCCAGTGAAAACTCAAAAGTCCAAGTTATAACTCATCATGACCACCACTAAATTATTTTGCAAGAGACTCAGTCATTATGCAGACTTACTGTTGCATTGTATGTTTATAAACAGTCTCAGTTTTGGAATCCCCAAATTCAGTAAGTTTTGCAGACATATACTTCAACACATGAAAAAAAAATAAACCATTATTACCAGCCTTACCCCAAATTATAGCCATTAAGCACAGTAGCTGATTATTTAGGTTGTTTAGGTAGCTGCCTCACTGCCCAAATCTCCTACTGCTCTATCTCAGGCTTTAGTCTTATGTGGATTAAGTCATTCTGGGTCACCCATATGGGGACCTTTTCCTACATCATCTTTTACTCCTCAGGTCAAGGGCATATTCTCTGACCTTGGAATAGGTTATGGTCTAGGGCAGGGTAAAAATTTTGGCCTCTTTTGTAAGTGTCCACTTGACATCCAAATCATTATTTCATAAAATTCAAATTATAGTTATTAATATTGCTAATGATAACTGCGTGAGCTTTGTAGTGTTTTTTAGCAATCATAGAAATTGTGACCTTTAGCATTAGATACATTTCATAAGCCATTTTAAAATCACATTAGAACTGGGGAGAGTTTTGGAAAATAAATTACAGTGCCTTTTATAGGGTGCCTGGTACAGGCTGTGCTTCATGGAGTTGAGTTGACCGCAGCTGTCCAAGGTTTCTTTATTCAATTTTATCAATTTTTCTAAGAAGAAAACATGATCCCTGCTATTCATTGGAAATATGCCCAAGGGAAGTTTAGTTATACAAAATCAAATATTAAATTTAAGAACCAGTTTGAGAGTATCTCTTCATATATCTAAACACTCTTTCCAAAATCATACCCTTGCAAACCTTTCACAAATTCCATTCCATAGTTGCACAAACTGATATCCATCCTTGACTATTTATTCCTTTTCTCTCATATCCCCCTCCCATTCCATCAGCCAGTCCTGTTGGCTCTGCCTTCAAAATTGGTCCGTGCTTTAACGACTGTTCAGCATTCAAGTTGCCACCATTCTGGTCCAAAGCACATTATCTCATGTCAGCATTATCGCAGAAACCTTCCCCTCAGAACTCTTCTGTGGCTTCCAGCTCAATCAGAGTAAAACCCATAGTCCCTTGCCTGTTTCTCCTAGTAAGATGCAAGTTCTATGAAGTTAGGTATTTTTATCTGTTTGGGCCTTTTCTGTATACTCAATGCCTGACACATAGTGGGTGCATAATAGTTATTTTTGGAATTAAAAACAAATAGGCATTCTAAATGGTGTGAACTATGTCTTATCGGGAATTACGTAACACTATATTGATACCTGTGATACTAGCTCTTTCAACAGATTTCATTACCAGCTTGTTTGTTTGTTCATTTATTTATTCAACAAATAAGAAAACACTATTGCTCTGTTGCTATAAAGATAAAAGATAAATTCCTTGACCCGAAGTCAGGAAGAACAGTGGAGATAATTAACATTTACAATACAGTGGGCCAGGTGCTATGCGTTGAGAGCATTTAATGGGAATGTATAGGAATAGCACGTTACACAGACATTGGGGTAGGTGGGTGGATGAGGAAGAGACAAAGAATACCTCCATTTCCTTGGTAGATGTTGTCCCAGTTTAGACTGGAAAGAATTAGGAATTGATCAGGGGAATAAATGTAGAACGGGGATACTCCAGGCATTGGGATCTCATATGGAAAAGAGCAGGGGTAAGAGGCAGTATGGTCTGTTTGGGTATTGCCAGGTATCTAGAATGGTTGTTTGCAGATCCATCCTCAGGATTATTTAAATCCATTAGTCAACATAAGTACCTCCTGCTGCATCACTGCTACTTCTGCCACTGCCAGGAGTATAAAGGAAGGAAGGACACAGTCCCTGCTTGCAATCTCATTTGGGAGATAAAATTGACACATATGAAATAACTGAATAATAAAAAAAAATATGACTTGTATAATGTTACATGGAGCAATGGTTTAAGTGCTGTAAGAATTGAGGGGAAAAAAAAGGACATGTGGGCTGGGACTGAGAGGGAAATATAAAGGGGAGAAGTTGGATGTGAACTCTGCTTTGAAGGAAATGTTTTGGTTTAGACTGGTAGAAGGGAAAAAGCCTCCCAGTCTGTGGTATGACTAAGCAAAAATCTTGAACTTGATTTATTTTGGGGATAGAAAGGTAAGTATTTGAGTAGACCAGAGGAATTGTTTAAAGGAGTAGTGACAAATATTATTGACTGCTTTACATGGGAAGAAT